GTGAGAGAAACAGAGGAAGAGAAGGAGGTGTAAAAAGGAAGCAGACAGTGGGAGAGCAAGGGGAGTCAGAGAGATGACAGAAAGAAGATCAGATCTAGTTGGAGAAAGAGTCGAAAAACGAAATAAAAAATCATTTTTAAAATGGGTGATGCGGTCATTTATTTTCGATAACGTCGGTAGAGATTTGATATCAAGAGAGTGTCAACCAATTTTGATTGGTTCAAATAAATTGAAGGAATAAGCCCACACTATCCCTAAAATTAGATTAGAGATGACATCATGAAATAGCAGTCCTAATATATTTCAGACGGTCGATTAAAAATAAATAACGTACTTATTAAATTGTAGCTGTCTTTGTCGTTTTTTATTTAGCAATACAGCACAAATATTATTTTTTCAACAGAACAAAATGCGTTGACAAGATCTCAGTCGCCTGCATTTTGATCAAAATTAACCCTTAAAAGACGTAGCGAATACACAACCGGTCCAGCAGTGAACTAGAAGGAAAGTTGTAGCACATTTCACACCATCAAACACACACATCGGCGACACGATATCTGCATATTTCAGAATACGCATATTGTTGCCTGAACGTTACAATTTTCAGAAAAAAAATAAAACTATAAAATCTATATGAAAAATAAAGTTAAGCTCCCTTTTTCCCCTAGAGTGTCCAAATCACGGCGTCTTCAAGCTTTGTCAGTTGACCAGAATGAGCGTCATCAGTGACTTAACCCTATCTGTACGTTGTGTTTTGCTATCGTATCCATACGACGTGGGGAACTCTGTGCCTCAACTTTCCAAAGAGGAAATTTACTCGTTTATCCTATCCGTTCGCTTTGCATAGCAGTCTGTCAAAATGATTTTTCGAGAAATACTGAAAGTTTCAAAGAAATCTTCGTACTAGAAGTATTCTAAAATGCGAAGAATACAACCCCGGGGTACAAAATGACCCTAGGCGTGCGTCTCAACTGTATGGTCATAGAAATTGGAACGCCTTTTTGCGGATGTCTAGGAGAGCCACTCACAGATTTCGTCAAGTGTTTCACACACGCGCTGTGGTCGTATGCCAACTACTAAGGCGAAACGTGCGACACTTTAGAGTGTTACTGGCATGGCATTCTTAAGCCCTGTTGTAAATAGACGTTCATTGACCTTACCTTAACTCTACTTCAACTCCCATTATATAAAGCTATCCCCTAACGCAACAGCCATGCTGGGGGTTAAGGAGGTTACCATGACAGCGAGGTGTAAACGAAGGTAATGGCATGGCATGGTGTGACGTTTGGTCTTGATTACACGACTTCTCGTTCCTTGACGCAATAGCCTGGTGAGGCTCCCTAGGGTCCCAGGTAAAAAACAGGTAATCTCTACTGTAGACCTGTGATTACTGGTCGTCGGGTTGATGACGCTGCGTACCCCATTCTTTGTGGGGGGACTGCGTGTTTGTGTACGAGAGAGAGAGAGAGAGAGAGAGAGAGAGAGAGAGAGAGAGAGAGAGAGATGAGATTAGTGACAAACAAGCAGAACAAAAATATACGGTGGAAAAGACATGATGAAAGTCCAAGTGTTCTTGGTGACTCCTTGAAGTGAGCGCAATCCAAGCGTCGTTGACAGAGTAACAACCTGCTAGTGCTAGCCACTCATGAGTGGTGTTTTTCTCCAAGCCAGGGGGCGGGGGGGGGCGAACACAGGGTCACACCCACTGCCACACCCCCTGTTACACCCACTGCCACACCCAGTAGCTCCCTTGCTGGTCTCTCCAGCCGTACGTCCACCCAGCGATATATAATCAGAACGGTGTCCCGAGTTTTTACTCAGTCACAGAAATCTCTCCTGTCTAAGTACTACAGTGCTGGGGAAAGTTTTAGTTTTTAGTAAGAGTTTTACGGCACTTGCAATATTATAATAAGTTCATGTAAGTGCTGAAAGTTAGGGGCGGTTCAAGAGAGTAGCAAATATGAAAAAGAAGGAGGAGAGAACAAGATGATAGGTGTTTGATAGGAAAGAAGGAGCAAATCACACCAGAGCACCCGCCAATCACTCACGCTGGGGGAAGTGGCAAATCTGTCGACACAATTATATTATGATTTTCTCAGGGGTCTTCAATTCAACGTTTTCATACCACTGGAACATCAAATGCCAGGAGGTTGGAACATCATAACCCCCAAAAACACACCACCCCCCCCC